GGCGAGCATGTAAGAAACTCTGAGGTAAGGCATCGCATATTTGGTGATGATTCGATGGACAATCCGTTGTCCCATTGAAATCAGATTAGTCGGCTTCGCTGGTTAGGACACGTAGTTCGCATACCCAGCTGTCGTCTACCTCACCGCACTTTATTCGTAGTTGCGGCTCCAGGTTGAAAGTTGAGTTCAGTTTTTTTACAACCATTAACCTTGGACTTTCGTGCGCCGGTTTTGGTTGCTGTCTTTGGGTGCCCATTTGGATAAAAGAGCGAAATGTAGATTGGAATGTTGGAATCAAATTCAAGCGGAAGATGGAGAGTCCATATAGAGTGGTGTTAGGAATATTACTGAGTGGATGCACGAGCGCCACTGTTTGCGACACCTAGCCATATCACTCAATATCTCTAACCATCGGTGACCATCATCCCGAGGTCCCCAGCCAGGGAGTCTAACGCGATCTATGTGACTTCGTATCCTGGTTAGAGTTTTCATACTCTCACGCCAGATCTGTGTTGCTAACCATAGAGGTTCACTTTCTTTGCCCCCTCCAATTAGGCCCCTCACGTCCCCATCTTGTGCTTTGTCACTTAATTTGTGTACATTGTGAGCTTGGCAGCGATTAATGATAGTCGCTTCTCTATATTTCGCTTTACGATGATCTAACACAGAATCAAGATCTAGGCATATTGAAAAAAGCTTTTTCTGGCGGATTGTGAGAGAAGTTTACACAAATCTGATGGACCGTATAGACTGTATGGAGGTAGGGGCGCGATGTATATGAATGGTTCTAATCCTACGTATTCATCTCATCTTTTCATACTTTGACTGGATCACATTTGAAAGATAATAATATAATCAACACTGCTTGGATCATTCCGTATAACTGGCTTATTCTGAACTGAGCTAAGGGGCTTGTCGTTGGTACTATTAACCGTCGTGCATAGATCTGATATTGTAAATACCAAGTTTCCTTTCGTTCGATTAGCGACATTTCGACTGTGTTATTGAATACACCGCCTACTCCACACCGCCCTACTGAACGGGTTTCTTCGTTACCCGACGTGAGTAGGAAGTATATGGAAGACAAATCTGGTGCACCTAAGTGGCATATAGTACTAGAAATCAGTTCAGTTCAGTTGGGAAAGATGGTTTTCCAAATGGGTTTTCACAAGAGGATGTGTCACCTTTCTTGTGAATCGGCATGAGGACCGATTCACATCATTCAGTTGGAACCTCTTCCCTCTCTCAAGCCGAGCCCGGGTGTTTTGTTAACTCCAAAATCAAGACTCAGCTTCCATTCTGAAAAACGGATGGCGCCGGCCCGTCGGGGCCGGAAGCCTTATGCCGTTTGAGGTGACTTATTTCCCGGGTAACCTCCATTTCAGATGGAGGACTGATGTCAACTGGCAGTATTTGCACAGTTGAATCGAATGGGGAATAGTCTTGTGTCGAAGGGGACCAGCTAAACTGTGCCTTAAAATGTTCTGCCCAACGTTCAAGACGACGTTCCTGAATTTGAATCAGTAGAGAGAGGTCCTTGTAGAATTCATCCTTTATTTCTGGCGAACTGCAATCCGTCGGTGCATACGCGGATACGATGAATAAACATCGACGCTTCGTTCTGTAGCTGTTGACACGTACCGAACCATCCAGACGTATGGCGCAAAGTCGGCTGTTAACCGGGATCCATTCGAGAAGTGAACGCTCGGCCGTGACACTTAGCGCAATCCCAACGCCAGCAACACCGCGAGCTTCGGATGCCGAATCGCCTGACACACGGAGAGTGACGCTTGATGAGGCTGGATCTGGAGAACGGAGGGAGATGAATTAAGTAGGATCTTGTATGCGTGTTTCGAAGACACAGCATACATTTAAATGGAAGGTTTCAAGGGTTCTGGTAAAGGCGGCTTGTTGACCGATCTGGTAGAGTGTGCGGACATTGAGGGCGGCTAAGTGGCGGGGGGTAGATTTTGGTTTCAAAAATCTGATAGCCTCTGAGTGGTTGACCTGATTAGTTGAGCGCTGAGTGATATGCGATGGGTCTCGTAAGCAGGAGGCATCTGGGAATATTCGGGATTGAGAAGAAGGACTGGACACATGGGAAAGATGGTTTTCCAAATGGGTACCCAAGACTTTAGGGCACGGCATACTTCGCGGTAGCCCACACCGACGAAGGGGTTTTTCTTTGGGAACCCTAACCGGAGCCTTTGACTCAAAAGTCTGACCCACAAGGTAGTGGGACGTAAATCCAACGCGGGAGCGTGAATGAAACACCCGTGTGGGAGCTTCTAGAGACCTGTCATGCAAGGCCTTTGAATTTCGATTGATTGTGTTGTTCGCTGGTGCGTTGATTTTCGATCCGCTTTTCGGGATCATCCCTCAGCCTCGTGCACCCAATGATACAAGCGGAACGTGGACGGGACAGCGCCTTATTGGCTGGGGGCTGCCCAGCTTGGACAGGCGGTAGCTGTCCAATGAAGTGCGAAGACTTCTCCCAACGTCGAGAGGAAGCCCCAGGTACCCCGCTCCTACGTCCATCTAGCGGGTTTTTTTGACCGGTAAACTGCACCTCACCGTGTTTATTTACTGGAGTGACCTCTCCAGGGGCGGATGTGGATAGAAGAAAGAAGCCAGGGGGTGCCCAAGCAGCTGGCTTGTGAGACTGAGCTTCGTCTGGCCTCTACCCGTTGACCTTTCAGGCATGATTGGATCTACGGCTGTGAAAAGCCATCCTGTATAGCTCGCAGGGTCATGGAGGCATGGAGTACTAGTTATAGGATCCTGTATTCGCTTCTCCGATACGCAGCAGATATCAATCCGCAAAGAGTCCATTGCACGCACCAGACAAATTTGTTGACCCACCTGCATCAGAGTCCTCACGTCGAGGGCCCCCAGATTGAGAGGTTGATGAGGCTTCAAAATTTGCAATCTTTTTCATGGTAAGCTATTACAGCGCTATCAGGGGACGAACTTTAGCTGCGTGTTTCTTCTTGTAGAGCAATTTAAAAGATTGTGGAGAGAGAGAGACGAGTCAAGAAATGAATATCTGCATGGTTAAAATCAGCAGCAACAATAAGGAGAGCGTTCTGTGTAGTTAGAAAGGTCGGATATAACTATACCAGCAAACGTCTGCACATCATAAGTTGTACTGGAAGGTGCTGTGCTATGTTTGATGCCACGATGAAACGATATTTACTAAGGAAATGGGGTTTACATTCAACCGAAAGACATGAGATATATCCTACGTTGTAGGTGAAGATAACCTTTGTAGACTTACACTAAAATGATTTGATGTAGGTTATTATACCACCGCCTCGATTTCGTAGTAAACAGTCTCTATCCAACCGATGTATTTCAGAAAAATCTAGCTCAACCAGAGTCGACGTCAGGATGCAACCACCTTTCTTACAGCATAATTATCCCCAATGCACAGTATTTTTTCTTCCTTATCAGTTTCGTGAAGTCGCTCATTTTTGCAAGTAGTGATCGTGCGTTTGATGAGCAAATAGCAGGTATAGACATTTTCTGAGGTTTTATGTTACGTAAAGCCACTTGCCAGCCTCCTCGGTGTTTTTTGAGGAAACCTGACCTAGACGGTCTGCATCTTTGTATCTATTTATGACTTGACGACTGAACCGATAGAGAATGCCACTCTTGTGCGATAACACAATGTTTCAAATTTTTAAAGATCCCGGGCGTACGTAATAATGAAGGCGATGGAAGAAAACTTGATTTAAACAATTAAATCCAATATGTGACGAAGAAGTTAATAATTTATCCACTGGAGCACGAAATGTAGCACGGACGAAATTTGAAGGCTCCGCCTTTCAAAACCCTAAGTGAGGATTAGGCGGATGGAAGTCTGATAAACCCGAAGCTTAGTGTTTAAGCTTATTTCGCATCGATTCTACAACGGTTTGAGGAGTTGTAGGACGGCTCTTCTAGCTCTAGGAGTTGGATTTCTTCCTTAGCCTGGCCGTTTGGTCTTATCGTAGAGCCAAGATACTTAAAAAATTCGGTTGATTTGACAAGCTCCCCGTTAATCGAGAGGGGTTGTGTCATGGCAAAAGTTTCTTTCGAAAATATCTTCCTTTTCGACGTGTTGATCTCTAGCCCAACGGCCTGGGCAAACTAATTTATACGATTGGCAATAGGCTGGGGTTGTCCATGGTATCTCCAAATACAATAACATCGTTAGCGAACTCGAGGTCAACAATCCGTGTACCTGGGCCAAACTGCACTCCTGGGTAGTCGATGAGTGCTTGTGGCAATATCCAGTCTACGGTGTAATTGAATAACACAGGCGATAGGAGACAACTTTGCCTGACTTCGGAGCTTAGCTTAAACTCAACTGAATATCCACCTCTCGGGGTGTATAAAGCCATTCCTTGACTAACTGACTGACTGACTGACTGATTCTTCTCCATAGATACGGACGCGTGCCTGGGTTCCTGAGTAGTATGACTGTCTGATGAACTTCTCAGGCATCCTACCGGTCTCAAAAGGTGACAACGACGAGGGGAAAATGGCCATATTTAAATAGGTTACGACCGTTAGTGCAATTCAAGTTGTGAAACTACTGTAAATATGTGTAGTGTGTGAAATTTAGTCCAGGAGCAGGGGTAAATTTCGTCTTCGTACCGGGGCATCACCGTAGACAACAATTAATCGTGGATTCAGACAGCCCCTGACCATTTTGTCTTGTATGATTCGCTATAGGTACCAACCAATATTTCGACCGAAACCAATCGGGAGTTAAATGGATGCTAAAAGCCTGTATTCGTGTTTTAATCATGTTTAGAATATCTCACAAGAACGAACACCGCTTCAAAGCCGACCTATTTGTTCGGTCCCGACGTTGTTCGCTCAACCGCGCGGTGTGAATAGTAAGTGTTTAATTATTGCTTTCCCCACTAACACCTTCGTACATTGTGTTCTCGAAATTAAGAATATTCATTGTAGTTTACCTAATCCAATCTATTTCAGCAGAATTCAAAAAAATGAAGGAAACAAATTATCTATGTAGATCTCAGTGGATCATAAAGTTTTAGTAAATTGAAAGAATATTTTATACCTTTACGAACGCAACACTTTATATTCCGAATCATTCAGTCCAATTAATTGTTCCGTCTCCTCTTTATCCGTAATCACAGTGGAGTTCGTCAAGCCTCTGGATGCAGGGGAACCTTTGATTACTCCGGTCATTCCTGTGCCAGTTTCTGATTCCGCCGACAATTCGATTGAGGCCTCCTGTGTCAAGATTGACTCCAGTCCCAAACCTATGGTCGCACTGAGCAGCACCAGCAGTATTGTAACCACAAACACCACGGGTGCGTCTACTGTGGTTAGCGTTAAGGACAGCATAGAGACATGTGGTGCGGCCCGAAGCCAGACTTCAGTGATATCGCTGGACCATTTTTCTCCAGACAGTACATCGAAAGAAAACATCCCCGCTCCTGCAATTGCAGCAAAATCTCTAAAATTGGAACCACTATCAGAATGCATGTCTTTGACTAGCACCACATTCCCCACGACAATGGACGCTACGGAGTCAGTTTCTCGTCCAACTGTTTCAGAGAACACAGTCGATCCCCAACTAATCGCTGCCACCTTATCTTCCGTTCCTCCTCCACCCTCTTTGACCTTGACGAAGCTACTAGCAGGCCCGTCATCTTGGGGCTCTTCCGCTTCTTCTTCCTCTTCCGCTGTGGACTCACAGACCGCATTTGTGCCTAAATTATCTCCGGGACATCAGAGTTCTTGTGTGGTTTCAACGGCCGCGCACTCAACCACTCACAGCCATAACATCAACACTACGAATTCAATCAACAACACAGTGACTACTACCACGACAGCAGATGAAATTCAACACACTTCCGCCTTGCTCGTCTCAACTGCAAGCGAACCCCCCGAAAACGACCACATGATCACAGCGAATACCGAGACCCTTCCGGCACATACTTCTTCCTCCTCCGGCCTCGCATTCGCGTCACGTTCCCAACCTCCACTTATTCCTGCCCCACTGATGCTTAGTGGTAGTCTGGCATTAACCCAACTCCTCCCATACGAAAATGGTAGTGGATTGTTGACGCCTACCACCCAAAGCACTGCAATGCTTCCCTTACTGGCATCTCCCGGTCCAAGCGGACTCTATACGCCCGGCTTGTTGACTAGTTTGTGCACCACTCCAACCAATGCTGCTGGCACTTTTTCTCTCCTGTCTCCCGCATCTTCAGCTCTGTTAACTACTGGGTTTGAAGCAGCCAGTTCGGCTCTGGGTTCTACGTTCCTCTCATCTCCCTCATGTTACCCTCCATCGTCAAATGTGGCTACCACCAACGGGACACTACTTTCCGGGGACACAGCAGGTTTAGAAGCTCAAGGGGATACATGTTTTCCTGATGTGAATATCGGCTCAGGTGATACGACATCTCGTGTGGCAATCAAACCTGCTCCCACACCGCCTTCAGTTGCATCGTCTTCATCTGACACGGCACACCTGTCTATGGCCCCAATTGGCTCCTATGCCCCAGATACCACTGTGACTGACGACACCAATGCCTT